CAAGGACACGCCAGCTTATCCGAAACATGATCCACATGAGTGGATGATGACGCTGTCCGTCCTTTGGAAGTCGTAGAGCAAGGCCTTCTAGTAGAAGTCAAGTTAGGTGGTCACAAAGAGCGCTAAACAGCAGATCTGCAGTTCACCTTTTCCAAATCTATCCTATAATAATATACTATAATGATGACGACCATCGTTGACCAGGATGGAGTTGTCAATCAATATTTATCTATTTCTCTTTTATTTTACGGATCCCAACATGAAATATTGCACAGATTCCAGCACTTCTCGCATTCCATCCGTCTTCTCACAGCCATCGTCCACGGAATTCTTCGAAGGTTTAACGTGTGAGTTCGGACTTTACTTGAGGATTTTTTTTGTTATTATGAATATGGCTGAATGCTTGTCGAGTCGATTCTTCTTAGAATACCGCAGCTGCTATGCTGTAGCGTCTTCAAATCTTCATCACAGCAGGCATCATATTTTTTCTGGACAGGAGGTCGCCCGATGATTTCAGACGAGTGTGTACCAATTAATCGTCTTTGGTGGGATAGAAGGCTTGATAGGCTCGGTGTGAGATTCTACTAGCACTTTGTTCCAGCTGAACATTATATCACTACCACTGCGCTGCTCACTCCTTCTCATTTAATATAAAACCTGTAACAAATTTCAGTCCAGAACAGATAAGGCCAATAACATTGCACCGAATATTGACAGAAGACCATAGGACAATAGCGCTTTAGAAACATCACTGTGCCGTGCCATCAAGAGCGCTCTGCTGTGATATTGCGCTTAAAGAGAATATTGATGCCTTTATGTCTTTTAAATATGAATGAAGCGATTTTACACTAGTCCATCCATGGCAGTCAATAATGCACTATTTTTCAAATATTTTCGGTGGGTTGTTTTCCTTACACGAGCTAAAGAGCATGCTAGTTGTCATTCTAAAAAGACGTGAGCTAATGCGAACTACTGATCGATAAAACTTTCTGAGAGACCGGCGAAACGAAGAACCCGCATGGTGTGGTGGTGAACGCGTTAGTCCCCGGAAAGGGTAATAGCGCGTTCGTTTCCCACCGCAGACACCTGCGGTCCGGAGTTTTGTAAATATCTCAGCATCATTATAGTTGTATCACACATTATACCCTGTCGTGAAAAATTGTCATAGGTGGTAAATAACAAGTTAACATTGCAATAAAAATTATTTACAAGCTTTTACTTTCAAGGTTTTGCACTTCTGTCAGCTTGCACAGACTAATTCGTATCTTACTAGTATTTATTCTGGAAATTACTCGAGTTGCTCGCACACAGCTTACTCAAGCTACTTCACATATGCGATGTTTTCAGCTCTTGTCGCTAACATAATAAATTGGAAAATTCTGTCTTCCTTCATACATTTGCATCCTCTAGCGTTTTCCTGCACAACTACTTTTTGACCATGGTTTCTACAGGTTGCACCCGTTAAGAATCTGAGCATAATAAGAAATTTCACGCGGACTCTACTGTGAGCGCATTATTTGGTTGTGCAATTCCTCAAAGAAAACCCACACCAATGTCAATGGATTCTACATTTTCTCGTGCCTTCTTTCTACTTTTTGTACTAGGCTTTATTTTTCGGGTAGATCTCAGTTTTCCCCATACATAAAATTATGTAAGGCCCATTTTTATACATAATCTCATAATATCTCTTAAAGCAAGTAGTCTGTTCTGGATTGTTACTGGAGAAATTCTCCAACTGCTTTTATTTCTTTTAAGAAGCGGATTCGGGTGCTTTAAGTTGATAGACGGTGGAATCGAAACGGTTTCTTTATGCTTCCAAAAACCTATTTTTTTCTCGCCACAGAGAAAGTATGTAGGTGCGCAATTAATTTTCCGTGACTCATAACATTACAAACAAGATCGTGATAGAAATTTTAGGACAGAGTTTTTGGCAAGTCACTGTCGTCTTGTTGAGCTAACACAGAGCTGTTAACCCCTTCGCAACGATGCTGTTTTTTGGATAACTGATGAAAATATCTCGACCAGTAAATTCCATTCCATTCCAAAGCATTCCAAAAATTCATAATTCTATAGATTCATAAAAGATACAATCTCTATCAAACTAATCGTTCATGTAAATTTTAGACAGTGTACCTTTCAAACTTAAATATGCTTGCAATCGGGATTTTTCATGAAATAGGAATGAGATAGATTTTTCAGCGAAAGGTCTGGAGCGGCAATCATGTACGATACATTGGGGAACATCCCAATGTGCCGCAGCCGAAATCTCATTTGTTTATCTTCTTGCATGTTCGAAACATGAGTCTTAACAGAAAAAAGTGGAAGAAATGTGTCATGGGCTTCAGAAAATCAGAATTTTCTTATTGCAAGGCAAGAGAGCCTTTGTCGTATAGACAAATATTAGCCGATTCTCAAGTTTTTATCGGAATCAGTGAAATTAACTATAAACGAATATGCTTGTCTTACAGTGAATTATTGATCAACGCAGAGTATGATAGAGAACCGGCCTTGGTATATTCCGATCTTAATTTTAACGCGGGTTTATTTTAGCATCGCACGATTCTTAGTGTAAAATATTTTCCTAGATTATTAAGCTAACAAAAGTTTAGCAACAAGCCTTATTCGGCTAGTGTTTCAGAGTCTTCGTGTTTTCTTATTCCAGTCCTCTACATGGTGCGTCCTCTACAAGATAATCAATGCTGAACGTTTTATAATCTATACTGTATCAACAATTTTGAGTGAGCTAAAGAAGAACCTAGTGGCTTCCCGAAAAATCTGTTTCGAAACTTTTATTAAGAGCTTACATCCAGCGGAATATAAGGGGCGCACAGAATTTTATGGCCTCTACTGTGATGAGGAGGAAATACCATTCCTCGAAGCATATTAAAATCGTTTTGATAACATCATCTGTCAGCTCTTTGTCGTAACTGTGGAGCTTCTCTTGCATCCAATTTCATTACAGGGAATTGTGTGCTAAAGTCTGGTTCGAAATTTCTTTCCTCCTTGGCTTTATGAAGACGTTGTTTGTCAGACGGGTATTATTGTAACATATTTCGTTGCAGCAATCTAAGAATAGCAGTGACTGACACTCACTTAACTAAGTTGGGTAATGTTGACATAGGAAACGTTAAGTCAAATGATTTTTTTTTGGTAACTTCACTACAAAAAAACTTGAAATCTAATTTTTACCACCTTACTCCACTACAATATTTTTTCCTTGGTTCCATGTCCGCTCTTCTATAACTCAGCATTAATTGGGGATTAATAATTAGTCCTCCGCAGTGGCGAAGAGGAAGATTGTATGAGTCCAGATGCAAGAAGAACATCGCATGTTAATTATTGGTTCTTTAAAACTCACTGAAATGTTTATGGATCAAGAAACTTATTGTATTTAACTTGAGGTTTTTAAGGCAAGCGTTGACCTCTGTTTTTATCCATGTCCACCCCGTAGTCAGAAATTTTTTCGGTGTAATTTTCTAAAATAAATAAGCAAACATCATGCCCATGTCAACCTCTAGTCCGCTCTTTGTTTAGAACTACTAAACCCATCTATGTGTGGTAATGCTATGACGTATATTGTGCATTAATCCCAGAATATTAAATGTTATTCTGGGCATCTTCATAAATGGTAAATGAAAAAAGAAGGACTCTGACAAAGAATTTCATCCAGGTTCACTGGGATTTGCTCGCTGGAATTTAGTTCTTCTTTCACTTTTAATTGCAGCCAAGCCTTGGAGAACACTATTTCGCTAGACGAACTAATGAGGCGGATTGTGCGCTGCAGTTCTCTACTTGTTTGCTAGGGAATTCTCAGAATAGGTTAACGACACCATGATAAATAATCACTGTTTAAGTTAGACTGTCAGATCACCTTTGTTTTTAGCTATCATTATGAGGTGTTTATGAATAGGCGTTTAACCGATAAACTACACTACAAGTTTCTTGAGCCTCAGCCGCAAAATCAAATATCTGGAAACGAATCAATCAACCATAATTTCAACTATTACTGATTTCTACAATGTTGCTGAGGTATTAGTAAAACTCGGGACCTCTGTACGTCGCGAACCTGCGATTACTTTTTCCGGGACTCCACGTACTATCCACTGCACCAGCCAAGTCTCTTGCTTTGCCTCTCTCTTTTCTCCTAGCAATTTTTTCTAACTCTAATGGTGCTATCAGCAATCACCCGTCAGCTGGAATGATCAGGGAGCACAAATTTGGCATTGAACCCATAAAAGCTAAGGTTACATATAAAATCACAATGTTTAACTGTTTTTACTGCTTATTACCATTACTTACTATTACTACTGATTCCTTGTTAATCAAGAAAACATCCACGTGTAACGGAAGTCGGGCCTGTTCATACCTGCGAATAATTCCACAAAACTTGTGAAATTGTTATTCCTCAAATCTATGTACCATTCGCTATCACTCAGTTTCCTATGCCGAAGTGTTTATACGAGGACTTATGACGTGTAATCGTCTATGTTATATCATATCTGAATGCTTAATCCAGCCGTAACCACATAAATAATTACTAGTTTAAGAACGAGATACCCCTTACTCTTTTTGATTTAGTTGTCTTTCAAGTGGTGTTTGAAATATTTTTACTCAGTAAAGAAGTTTTATAATGAAGTTTAATTTAATACAACTACTTTCTATATATACTGCATCGTGGCGAACTATTTCAACGCTGCAATAAGCACTAATATTTTCCGAAAGCTCCGAAGGATTTTTTTCTTCTGCAGTAAATCTCGTGACGTATCAATATCAGACTAGCTTTTCCTTATTGTGATGTCTGTTTCAATTTATTTGCCACCTTTATTTATTTGCTCATTCGCCAATTTCTCCTTCAATCGACCCTGAGCTTTCTCTAGTCAATAGCTTCTTTGTTTTCATGACGCCGTAATGTTCCCTACTGGATTCTTATTGTTAACTGACTGTACTTAGGCTGAATGTTTGCTACTAGTTTTTCTAAGACTTTTGTTTAAATATTATAGATCGATGACGTTATCAGTCCCTGAATACACAGAATTAAATCGTGCGCGACTTTCTAGTCGACGAAAAATGAGCCTTGGTAGTTCACCACTACTGTCGAATGGCCATCGGATCCCTCTGCATTCAAGGCGTACCAGTATTGCAGGTAAATTAGTTGCTCTTCTATTTCTTAAGAATTTTCCTACTATTATACTGCTTCATGTTTCTCTTTGTAAAAGGTGTAACACTTCATGGACCTAATCAAAAATTTAGCCTGTGTTCTCTTGACGATTTCATTTATAATATTTCATTGAAACAGCTCGATAGATTTGTTGGCAAGTCTGTATAGCGCATTAAAAGAATGGCTAGGGTCCTATACCTGAAGGTTTCTTTTGCGCATAATTCATAAAACAGATGCTCAATCACTTTTTGCTTTATGGGGAAGTCGAATGAAGGAGTTCTGGGCATTTTGCTGAAATCTTTTTTCTCAACTATACCTCTGAACTTTGTTCTGGTAGCAACTTTTGCTGTGTTATTTATACAGTAAGTTTTTCACGTTTGGCGTACGTAAGGTCCACGGAGTTAAATGTGCTTCCAATTTCACCTAAACATTTGAATGAACAGGCGTCATGTTTGATTCCCAGTACATCTCTGGCAGGTAAGTGTTGTTACATAAACCTTCATTTTTTAATGAACTAGCTATGTGCTTTTCTTTGTAAACAACTGTTCCTTTTCATGTTGAAGGCGGAGAGGTTCTTGCATAGCGCCCCAGTTACTGCTGCAAAGAATTACCACAATGCGAATAAAGTGCAGTGAAGAGTAATTTCACAATAACTACGTGTTGCCATTACATTGGTGACGAAAACGAGAATTAGAGCAAGGATTCTGTTTATGTGAATTATCCATAGCCTTTCCAACTATTATAATCTTCACTCAGGCCTACTGCTCTCTCATCTGCATATTCACTCAGCAAAGAGGCCTAAGCTGTCGCGTTCATTAAAGTTTCATCAATGATATGCTTTAAGAAAATTGAATTCATTGCGAAATAGCCTTCAGCGACTCAGTACTTTTAATTGCAGCCTCTAACACCTGAAATTTCATAAACTATCAAGTAAGACATCGAGAAGTCGACGTCCGAAACGGCAAAGCGCGATGGCTGACCACATGTGTCCGTCCGCCTGGCGAAGCACTAGCATTGCACTGCTTCCCATGACGCCGTCTTTTCAAACTAGTTTTCGTAAGAGTATACATTTGGCTAACTCACTGCACTATCTTAGAGTAGGCTTCCGGGATATGAGGTTCTACACCGAATTGACATGTTAAACACAATATGTATAGATGCAAACAGCCTGTGTAAGCCAACCTATTGCAACAGAGAGAGAAAGCACACTTGCAAATTCAACATTTCATTTCTACAAACAAAGGGGGACATTAACAATTTTCGCGATAAATTCTATGAGTTATAGCTAAGAAATGTTTAAATGTTAGCTGTTTATTCACCATTCTTCGAACTACTTTCAAGCTGTCGGGTGGACTAACCTCATAACCGTCCAGACGATCGTAGTTCTGACATATATCTAGCAGTCCACCATTTCTCATCGCTTGGAGATTTTGCTGATGTAGCAGTTATCTAATGAGGAGCGTAAGTCCTATCCTATATAGCACTCTTGGTTTTGGTTCACCTTAGTGTCTATAGGCGTAAGAGGTAGAAAATAGGTTTACGCATTATGAAACTTAAGCATGTTATCATACGATGTAAGCAGCGCTGCTTTTTTTTTTGGAGGGAGGGGGAGGATTGCAACAATGACGTTTTTGTCTCATCCTTTTGAAATATCGACCTGCGTTTCAGAATGCGTCCGACGAGTCCCTTTTTGAAAGGATTATGGCGAAAAATCAGGCATTGTTGACCATCGTGTAATAACGTTAACCCGTACAATTCATTACATACATTGCACGTAATTGTCACCATCGACGTCCGATGGTGGAGGGCGGAGCTAGACAAGGAAATTCTGCCGCCTCATTGCGAGGCATCAGTGTCAGATTCTGTTAACCCTGGTGCGCTAGTCATTAATATTCATCTATCTTCTATAACAGTTCTATTGACTTCAAGCTAAAATTTTTTCGTGATTGCGTTTAAATATCAGTTCGTATAACTTTAGAGACTGATCGCCTTGAAAAAGACAAGAAGTCCTGCTTACTAGTTCTATTCCTGCTGCAGTTATTATTTTACCCTAAAAAGGCCTAAGCAGAGTAATTATGTTTTGCGAACACAAGGTGATGTACTCGAGGATGACAAATCCACGGATTCGACGCTCGAATTCAGCAAGGAGTCCGAGTTCCACTTACTCCGGACCCAACCTTCGGGTTTCAGATGCGTTTTCGGATAGCATACGCACGCTGGCAATTACGGCTAGACGCAATTCAAGTCCACTCTCGAGAAAGTTGACAAAGAAAATGAAGAAAAGTCGGTTAGTGGGCAAGAACGGTATCTGTAACGTCTATAATACCAACGTGCCGAAAAAGGACAGACAATATCTTAGGTAGGTTTTAATCGTTTTTATGATTTTCCAAATAAGTGCATTCAGTTCTTCAAATTTTCCATACCAAATGTTTCAATTTTAGGTTAGTTTTTTGTTGAACTAAAACTCTGGTTAACGAGGAAAGCTGTTCTATTTGTGAAAGAAGATTAACCTTTTGGCATTCATTCATTTGCACGCCTTTTTGTGAAATGTCGCCTCCACAAGTTCATGTCAACAGCCTTCTCACTTTTCATAGCAGAATAAACACCGCTTTTCGATTAGCTTTCACTTTTGCTTCTCTTAAAGATCGTATTTTAGCGCTTTTATTTCAGAGATATCTTCACAACAATGATTGATGTAAAATGGCGATATATGTTATTTATTTTCGCACTCGTCTTCGTATTGAGGTGTGTCTGTAAGAAAACAATCACGCGATATTGTTTTTGATTTACGACGTTGAAATATGATTAGGAGAATTCGCAAAGGCTATTAAGTTCAAAAAAGCTGTTTAAGCTATGAAATCACTCTGCCATCACTATACAGAGTTCATGATTTGCAAATGAAACACTACAAGCCACTTCTTTCGCGAGTTATGCAGTGAATTGAAAGATCGTAGCGTTTTTAGAAGAGAGCGAGTTCAGAACGTTGTAATAGTCGTATCAGATGCATGGAAGAAGTTTGTAAATGTTACTATGTTTTGGTGAGCTTCACAGTCACCAACATACTACTCAATGAACTCATCGATCAACATTAAGCTCACGTTAGGAACGTAGTGTTTTTAGTTGGACAACGTTTGCAACTATTTACTACACGATCGCTTTTCTTCACGGCGATCTGTCATCCGAATTCCGCTCTCCGAATCGAACTCAATGCGTAGTGAATCTCGATTCGGTTTATTCATCGTTTCTATTCGCTGTTGAAACACATCACACCATCGGATATGGACACAGGTGACATTGAAAACGAAAATAATATGACGATGGGCCAACTATGTGATTATTTTTGCACTCCATAATTTATGAAATCCTTTGAGATAATCCTTTTACTACCTATCATGAAGCAATATGGATGAATTTTTACAGTTTCTACAGTAAAATGTTGACGGAGACCAAAATTTTGCCTTCCTTATGGAATATTTCAACGTCATTCAAGTGAATGCTTTTATATGGCTTTTATACTTGGGTACTTGGATGTCCCGTCTTCACTGATTGTGCGGGATCCAGCATACTCTCCAATTTTTTCTGGGATTTGTTGGTTTAGCCATTGTCGTCGCCCCTGTAGAACAGTGAGAGATTTGCCACTATTCGACTGATTTCATACCAGGACGGTGGTGGGTCCTGGCATTGGTCTATTCTTAGCTAGGCTTCCTGACGGAACCGCCGGATTCCTTTTCGCCTTGGGATACCCTGCCAGGGAGATGAATTTTCCCGCTGTACATCGCAGTCCGACACCCAGGAACATCTCCCAGCCACGATGAGGCGATAAACCGTTGGGAGGACGCTTCTCATAAGAAATCCGAAATAAAAAAGTATCAACAAAACTTTTGCAACGCTAACAGAACAAAATGCTTGGTATTATCGAAACCGTCATGCAATTAAATATCTTAAATATCTCAGGTTAAATGAATCATGTGTACAAGGCCTTCAAACTACTGGTTAAGTGAGGAAACAGCAAATGACTGCGATGAATCGGACAGTCAAATACGTAGGAAATATCTAATTTGCCTTCTATCTAGTTCTTAAGTCATTTTTTGACTCATTTCTCTTCTGATAAGCTTTTTTCTTCTCACACATGTCTTAAATGTCACTAAAATATTGCTGTAGACGATTACATGCCATCAATGACATGACGAAGAAAATTGCTAAAACTAAATGACTAAATTCTCAAAAGGCAAAAGAGATAGACATCAGAAACCAAAGCATGTTTTGCACAAAATGGGAAGCATTAAAAAGAATGTGCTACTGTACAGCACGGTTTTTATGGATTTGGTGAAATGAACTCACTTAAAATTCATTCTTGTACAGAAATGTGCTTATCGCTGAATAAAAGTACACTAACACTTCATCAGTTCCTTTATTTTTAACTTATAAGTGAAAACTATTTTGATGGTGGAAAAGATTGTGTGACTTCATGGTTTTCGACGAATTGTAAAAAGTGGGCCAGCGAGGTATTTCAGATATATCACAACAGAATGTCCCCTTGCTGGACTTGCAGTGTGCTTGCAAGCCGTTTTTGGTTTGCTAATACAAAGCTTCATGGTTGGCTTAGTATTCGCAAAAATGGCTCGCCCAAAGAAGCGAGCTGAAACAATCATATTTAGGTGGGTGATTCATGAGAATTAGCCGTTCTTGTTTTATATAGGATTTCCAAAATAAGAAACAGTGTCAAAGAGAAGCAACGAGTGGATAGATTAAGATACCAGCAACATGTTTAGACAGTGTTTGGAAGCACACACTAGGATGATATCAAATCTTTACTGTGGCTAGCACTTCGGCAACTTTTCGACTTCTTCGGAGTCACAATAATTCTAGTCGGGCACTTAGTCCAGTGCACCCCTCGTCCTCTTAGTGTTCGTAGTCGTATCCATGCCAATCAAGTTTTAGATATAGCACCGCATAAATAAATTGGCTTTTCATACAAGCCAGTTCTTATTGGTAGAAAAAAGTAAAATTACCCGAAAGCCTTCTTTATCAGGGAATGTTCTTATTGCTAGATAGAAGTGACCTCATCTAACAATTCACTACGATATAAGGTGGTTTCTGCTGGTTTGTCATCCAAGGATGTCTTCGTAGTGTTGACACATCCTGTAGTAGTCTGAATAAATTTGCCCGTTCGCATAGAAAATAGGAACAAACTACCGAGTAGATGAAAGATAAAGAATTTTGAGTTGATTAATCCGTAAAGGATTCATTCGACTTCACCAAGCGTCGTGGATGTGAACGTATGCGTAATTGGTCTATATAATAATTTGTGAGCTCCTACCAGTGTATCACATTAGTGTTGTTATCGTCTCAGTCAAACCTACTATCAATTTGCCAACTCAGTAAGAGGGAGGGCTTAATATGTTTGCTTGTCTGAGGCGGAGGAAAAATTGTACCAACGACTACGCATGTATGGCAGAGCACGTCTTCCTCTTGCCACACACGTCCCTGCATTGATTTGATCTGCTAGCACGTCACTCCACTGTGGCACCCTGAAGTACCTCAACGTTGGCAAGTAGGGCCCGATCTGCTGTTGTCCGACATTTGCAAAACTTTGTGATCAAGAAGAGTCTCGAAATGTTTAGCACGATAAATATAGTACAGGAGACCACTTTATCTAATTTTCACCGGGTTAAAAAAAGCCTCCGATTCACTTGCAGGAACAGTCGGGGAAACTCAAGACAGCTATGGTGTACTTACTACCACAATCTCACCATTTTAAAACGACATTGACATTGATAATACGAGGAATTCAATGAGGGGTTGTAGCATCTAGCCAGAACTGTTTACAACAATCCTTGCGAATGTCGCGCGAAAACTCGAATGATCTAACATAGAATTGAAAATCGGCGATTAAAAACTACAGCACACTCGCTTTGATGGAGATGGTATATAATATCAAGAATTAGCTGGTGGAATGGTTCCTGTAGAATAATTGGGCTTTGCCTAGATCTCAATGAAGCAATTTTGATGACAAAAGGATATCTTTTTGACCTGCTATTCAGCTCTGAATAACGAATATCTTTGAGTGTTCTATGTCTGTTTGAATATAGGTCAAGCAGTTAAGATGTTGGACGAGTTCAAACTTGAGCTGATCAGCCAGAAACGAGCGCCTTGGAGCACATAAAAGATAATTGAGGATGTAGAGAACTGAAACGAACATCCAGCTTCGTGCTCATTCTTTAGATCTTATGATTCTTCTTGTCTTTACACAAGTATCGGTGACGCAAGTTTAGTAGAGCTAAACATGACCTATGATATGCCGCACACGCCTTGGGAAGGTTCGTCGGAACTGAAAGAGGTAGTCCGAAGTTCCTATCTACGCCAACGATAAAAGACAGGAGACGTTGCCATATACGTTAAGATGTCGAAAATTGGGTGAGCAGCGTAGGTGATGTCTCTCTAAGGCAACAAAGCCCCATTGCTATTTTTTCCAGGAAGTGTTAAACACACAGGAAGAAGACTGCCCACTGAATTCTTCATGAATATTCTAGAGCTAAAAAGTAATCAGAGTGTGTTCCTAAGGCAATCAAAACCCATTGGCCTACTTTTGCGCGCAGTTGGGCTAACTGAGGACTTCAAGAGTACCCACCCGAGTCAGCCCACTGAAGCATCCACGAGATGAATGTGATATTGCAAATAAATCAAAATGTCGCCGAACTTAAATGAAATCCGGTGCTGAAAATTTATAAAACATCTTTCCCACGGTTGGAAATAAAGTTTTTGGTTCCATAATAAATTAATCACACGCCTACATCTAACTAGAATCTTTATTAAAATTCCTCCTTGAAGGATCTAATAAGAAAAAACAAACTGTACGATGGTTACTATGGAGTTGACTTTGTGTTCGCAACGCTTAACAAAAGCAAAAGAGATGAGGCTGATTTTGCAGTGGCTAGAATACACGCGATTCTCGTCGTTTTAAAAGTACAGTTGAATTAAAATTTACATATCATTCATAAATTTGAGCACTATAGAAGAAAGGAAGGCCAGAAAATCAAGAAAAATTTTGGACGAAATTTTTTTTTCGGCCAACAAGACAGCCAAAACATCCTGCGAAGCAGATAAGCCGAAACCATTCCATTTGGGGCAAGTGATTGGATGCGGAATATGTACTTTTGAGCAACTGCCCCACATTTGCAACGCTGTTGCTTTTATTTGCTAATATAGTAACTTAGGAGAATGGTTTGTTAGTACATAGTGAAAACCCACAAACTGAAGGAGATTACGGTTGAAAAGCATATAAGGGATAAAGGATTTGGCATCGATCAACCTTTGAGTGAAGCGCTGTGTATTCGACTCCATTAAAAACCATGATTTATATTTCACCCGTCGATTTATCAGCTCAGTGCTCTCATAATGCCAGACATGTCTGGTGCCTTCCCCCCTCCTCCCGAAGGAATTGAAGGCTTTTTTAGCCGTAAGCACTGGATCGAACCAAGGACAGCTCCTCTATTACATGGCACTTCTGAGCACCACACCGCACGTCCGCTAGTTCCGATCAGTTGGAAATAAGTGAAAAATCAAAGAAAGAAGTACTTTTAAAAAGTACTTATTTACAGCGAGAAAGCCGTTATTTGTCTTCGAGATGGACAACTTTGTTTTCTTTGTCGCGTTGGAGACATGAGGAACACCCATCTTGTTGAAGCGCATGTCAGATTACAGTTCATCTCAGATCGTGAAACAGCAGAAGGAGAGGTGAGCATGATTTTGTAAAAAAATTGTATTTTTGCTCAGTAAGGTGTTGTATTGCAAGATTATTTGAGAGTTAATGGTTTTTGAACATCTTTTTGAAAAAGAGACCAAAGTTTGTCGAACTCATGAATACTTAAACACATCAAAGGACTAAACATTACTTCTTCTACAATTTTAAAATTGCAGATAGAACCGCTTCATCAATTTGAGATGAAAGTAGGTCCAACGATTACTGACGACGACAGGCTCTTTCTGGTCAGTTTTATACAGCCTATTTACTGTTGCGCCGCGCTCAAATTTGATATCATCTAGTACACAGCGTTTGCTTATGGTTTAAGGAAATCCGGACGCTGCTGTCATATTTTGCAAGCTAATTTAAACAACGTTATTGTTATGTTTTCAATTCACCACTACCTAGTAGTGACGTATGACGAAATTAAGATCTTTTTACGTTGCACTTTAGGGCATCATGGGCTCAGTACTCCATAATTAATCTTTTTTACTAAGTGGCACGCAACCGGTTTCTGTTCTAGAATTTCCTGTCAGTCAAATGTTAAACTATTCAAATAAATGGGTGCACTGCAGTTCACTTTTAACTTACCTGTGTAAGCTTACATGTTAGCCCAATTACTCACTCTGTTCGGTCACTGGAAAATTTATCAGGCGCTGTTCATCTTAAAACGGTTTTTCATTAAGTCTTGGCAGAAATAATCAACGTGTTCACCGACTATTAAGCTAACTATTCATCGCTATTCACGCCATAAAGTGGGGTGACAATCACAAAGCGCGTGGAGGAGACCTTTGCAACGTATTGAGTGCATGTCATTACGCAGCAACATTGCTAGTACTCAACTGATAGTGAAGGTCGACGGCATTCTTCCTGTTGGTGGACTTTGTTTTTTTTCACCTACTTAATGCGAAAAAGTCATCATAGCCTTTTTGAAAGTTGTTTGTTTTCGGGGGTCACTTTGTTTTCCCATATGTGTTCAGCATTCCAGAGAAAAATGTCGGTCGTTGTATAGAATGAATTCTATCCGTCTTCCACAGTGCGATCAAGGAATGTACCGCTGCTATTGTGCGAACTTAGAATCTCTCCGATCTCTTTTCACTTAATTTCATTCATTTTTCGAGTTTTTTGGACTTTCGCATGCGACTGGATTATTCGGAAACGGTTGCATTATCCATGCATAGTTTTGCCCTATGTTGTAGAAATGTTGTGAATTCTGCTCTATTTGACGTACAGCAAAACTCTAAACAGAAGAAACAGCAGCGTAGGAATATGGAAAAAATTTGCGCAATAAACCGGAATTGTTGCAAAACATTTGGGTCGTAGCTTTAATGTCAAAAGAAGAACAGTAGTCTTCCAACTCCAAATATTGGAGAATTTTCTCTTCGTGAAAAGGTCTTGAGGTTGCAATACTAGAATGCAGCTCTTTGGACGGAAACTTTGTACAGAAGTAAAGGTATGCTATACAACAACATTGCGATTGCTGGCATAGAAAACCACGCATTCATTATCCAATGCTGAGTTTAATAGAAAGTCGATCCTAGAAATTATACTACTTTTAATGCGATGCTTGAAGAAAATAATTAAGAGTTAAGTAAAAATTTCCCAACCTGTCTTGTGAATTTATATTTTTTATGCTGAATAGAAGAATAATTTAAAAACCATCCAAGAACTTTGGTTTGTCTCTGCGTTGGATGTCTTCGCGCTTAATTTTGGCACATAATTGAAGGCATCGATTCCAGTGCAAATAGAGCGTGATACAATAGGAAAAATGTATGGGTGATGATGAAGAAGATGAAGAAGCCATGCATTGGATAGTTTCTTACAAGAACGTTGCGAAATTATATCGCATTATTTTTTCCTAGAAAGGCTTTATAGGTTTGGCCGACTACGTTGTGCCACGTGATCAACAAGGATTCACCGCTCTACGAGTACACGGCTAATTCATTGCTATCAGCTCAATTCGAGATCATTTGTCTTTTGGAAGGTATTGTAGAATCAACAGGCATGACGGCACAAGCTAAAACCAGCTATTTGCCATGTGAAATACTCTGGGGACATCGGTAAGCTTTTGCAGGAACACGCTATGTATTTTGAACTGTTCGCCTTCCTACGCTCCACATTTTTCCCTCAAACTGGGAACAGAATTTAGTGTAAAATCCAACATAAAATCCAAAACCGTATCAAACTAAACTCATATTTACTGCTTCGCAGTTTTCGGAAGTTGGTGACGTACAAGCGTAGCAACGGGTCGTACCAAGTTGACTACAACTTGTTCAACTGCACCTATCCTGTAAAAACACCGCAATGCAGTGCGATGGAGCACTATGCTCAGGAATGCAGTGTGAGTTACGCCATCATGGTTATCTCGTTTTGGCCTTAATACATCTCACTTTTTAACATAGCTAAAACAGATTCTTCCACGAAGGGAAAGCGGGCGCTAACATTCGTCTGATTATCTGCTATACACACTGTCGATAAGTTAGAACCTGAAATTATCGTATAGGCGTCCTGATGAAGCACATTTCCTCAAATTTAAATCAAATTTTAAAAAGACTCATGTTTTTTGTAAGCGGAAAAGGAATGAGGTTTCGATCTTTTATCATTTTTTATCGAAAGGTTTGAATAATGTTTAATGTAGCGGAATAAGGCAATGGCGAGTTTGAAGCGCACTTCGTGTCCCGAGTTTTGCTCACATCTCAGCTTCCTTGTGGCTGCATTTCACATAATACCCGGCCATGAAAAAGAAATCGGCTGTAGATTAAAGGCGTTATCATTTTCTAGTTGCAAGCATTATCCAGGTACTTGTGTATGATTTCTTTCTGCGGTGTATACTGCACTGTTGAGAACATTCTAGAATTGTTAAAGATGTAAAAGAAAGTGTCTAATTGGTGCTCTTTACATCTAAAAGCTTGCTAAACAAAATTACATTTAGTTAACAGAATTGCATAACCTATTTCTCGCTTATTGTATATATATTTTTTATATGGTCCGCCTTCACATCTGCTGTGTGGATCTCAGCATTTCTCGCATTCGATTTGTTTCCCTCGCATCCATTATCCACAAAGTTCTGCCAACTTTTGTGTGCCTTCGGCTACTGCTTGAAGATTTTCATTTCATCTTGAATGCCTTGGAATCCTGGTCGAGTCGATCCCTCCGGTAGTCATGAGATTATCGCGATGGAGCTTTCTCAGTTGGATTGAAGAAAATGCTTTTTTCACGGATAAGCCCGTCACCAATTCCCTGACCCCAGAAGGATGAAAGGCTTGGTGAACCAGGGTGGTCGAACTAGTACCATGCTCGTGATGACCGACAGTCCTTCTGAAAACATTGAAATGCAAAACATATTTTACAGGAAGAATTGTCTGAAAAATATGTACACTTACCGTGTCTTTAAAAAGGGCCAAATTAGTATTAATGCTCTTTCTACACAGGTGGCTACAAAATGAATCCTCCAGAGAGAGAGAGAGAGAGAGAGAGAGAGAAGAGAGAGATAAGAAGTCTATTCAGCAACTTTGTGTTCGTGATGAAGTGCTTTGCTGTACTTTAACGGTTCTCATAAGTTTAGTAATTTGTCTGAAACAACCTAAAGTCGAAATATATTTAAAGTTTCAGCCAAAAGACTACTTTTGTTACGACAGAAACGAGTATAGCCTGGAAGATAACCGTTCGTGGGAGTCCAGTCCAACACCATCGCCATCGCCATACAGTTATCCAGTTAGTCCGCTTCCACACCATCATGCCCACTCCACGTGCAACATTAACAATACCAGTCGTAATAATGAGGTCAGTTTCAGTTTTCAATCATTTAGTAATTTGAAAGGATTTGTCCTTCAGGCGTTTTGTTTTCAGCAAAAGTTGCAATGGCCTTTTTTGTGCATGATCACAGAATACTGAATCTGACATGCAAACGCCCAAGTAAGGCATACCATTCTCTATCTCATAAATCCCCGATCTCTCAAATGATAATGACAACATGGCGAGTGATTGCGCATTACATCGCTGGAGTAAGAGCTGGCTGAGAGAAAGGCAAAGCAGGTCTCAGTTTGTACAGTGGATAGAAAGTGAACCCCCGAAAAGGTTTATCACGGGTTCAAATCTCAATTGAGGTTCGCAACTTTGCTCATACCTCAGCATCATTGCGGTTGTAGTTCACATTCTACCGTCCCATAAAAGAAGAACGGACTTTATTATTATAAAGGTTAAACATTGTGACAACTGAGTTGCTTTCCGACAACGAAATTTTTTCCCCTACATCCTCTCTTCACTCACATCAAAAAACACCCTAAAAATGGTTTAATTTCCTTCTAGTAAAACCAATCAATTTCAAACAGGAGGCACTTCTAAATATGGGTTTTTAGGCTCATTCTTAAGAGGTGCACAAAACAAAAAAATATAATATGAAATATTCAAAAACAAAAGGCAGCTTTAAGCTTGTATTTTTAAAGCGGCACGTATCATAGACCATTAGCATCTCCATATTTTTTGAAGAAGCTTATTTATAAAAGAAAACTGCATGCTGATGTCATGTTTTCCATGCTAATTTGTCACCATTGTGCTTTTTATTCGCCATTAGGTAGTAGCACCGCATGACGAAGTAATGATTTTCTTCACTAGAGCATGTTGCATTATTGCCTCAGTACTACATAACCAATCTCAGTTATTTAATGGCATGGAAGTGCTTTCCTTTCCAGAATTTGCTTTCTATCAAATGGCGAATTGTTGAGCGTCATAGTCCAACTATTTTTCATTCATATTTTTATTCACAGAGGAGAAACGGCGGTAAAAATAGCAATTTCTTCGATTGACATTCAAATCGTGCGGCGCCCATTTCTCGAGCTTCCTCAACTTTTCAACTATCTCTATGTGAATCATCATCTTCTAATATTGTTCAGATTACAGAGGTTACTGAGAAACCCTCATTCAGCTAACGTTTCGACGTTTTCTTCTTTATCAGATATGCATAGAACGGAGTCGATTGTCCACAGCCGTTCGTCCTCAATATGTCGGGTTTTGCTGTCGTATCCAGTCGAATCCAATGAAGTGGAGCAGCGTTTGAGTGAGAATTGGAAACAGTGGCAGAGCTGAATGAGGCTATCTTTCAAACATTGCTCCACTCCATCGGATTCTGTTCGATACGGCAATAAAGACCCGCATTGCGAGGACGAACTTCTATGGACTATCGACTCGGAACTCTAAAAAAGTTCTATCGATGCTAAAAAATACGTTGATTATTCATGAAAAGGTTAATAATGGTTGGTTTTGAAAAATATCATTAGATGCTCTGAAACAGTTCCGACCGAATCGTTTCGTGAGTACGAGCTTATATGTATGTATACAAAGTGAGGTGTACATATCTGACGAAGAATTTTCCAATTGGATGGCTTGTGTGTAACTGAAATGGCGGCTAAGAAAAGTCAGTCACACGTATCAATTATTCTGAATCCTGCAGACGAGATTTATGATTGAAATAGAGAGAGAGAGAATAACGTAATATACAAGGAATCTCCATGGTTTTTAGGATTCGATATTAATAACGCCACCAGCAATAGTGGTGCAGTGTCCTTCGACGTGTTCATCTCCTAACCACTCAACAAGACGTTTGTTCGACGAAAGATCGACACCCGCAGAGAACTACCGATCTGGGTGATGATTATTTCCGAAAATCTTTTGGTTTACAAAAGTTGAAAGTTTTTGATTAACTGTTGAAAAGGTGCATTTCAAGCATATTTTAGCAGCAGTCTTTCTACTCGACCAAGTACAGCTTTGTCGGATCTCGAAGAAGAATGTTCGGACCATGTTTTATCCAACAGTGGTAAACCTACTAGAAGATCGGTTGATGTATCTACATAGCTCAGTTTAATCAAAACTTTATAATCTCATGATGAATATACCGGCTTCTATACTGGATATATTCGTTATATAGGTAGGCTGTTAACGCTGGTGATATTTATTTCCTACACTCAAGGCATATTAAGAGCTCAAGACGAAGTGGAAATTTCTTAAAAATATCTGTTGAAGGCAAAAGCTGTGAAAAATAAGCTTACTTGTAATGTTCATTGAAAAAAGTGAAAGGTATGTTTTTAATATCCTCATGTGATGTCAGCTTCGATCTTCGTAAAATATTCGCATTTAATTCGTGTCATAATAATTTTGTTCTGGATTTCCACCACGGAATTAACATTTGTTTCTACCGAGCTCAAGAAAAGAAATGATTTTCACTGCGAACGTCGCAGTTTCACAGTTGAACATCTAGTCTTCATTGGCGAATACCTTCGATAATTTTTAAGCTCAAAAAACAGTCTTCATTCATCACTTATTGAATCGTTGTTATTCTCTGGACTCATTTCATTGATTGTTTCGTCTCCACCTTAGTTCTTTTCTTTATAAAGAAGTTATGCAAGTTTCTGAGTATAGCACTCATAAGGAAGGTGAGGACTAATGCTCATAAGCAATACAGTTGTGAGAGTGAACAGGCTATTATAGTTGTGTGAGAACCAATATGTTGCTGCGACTCTGTTCCATAACACTATAAACCCTTAAAAGAAGCAGTAATAATGCAGCAAAGGTTTTTAAAATTTTAAAAAAAGTTTAGTTAGTAATAAATCCCACGACCGACTTTCTGTTAACCTTGGCATTTAACAAGTAATTCTTCGTCTTTTTGTTGAGCAAACGCGAGGTGTTATTTTGTGGTTCAATGTGATTGAAATCTTGCTTTAGCATTTTTTTTACTTGGTTATAGAGTTGTTTGGCTGGGTAGATTGCTATCAACTTGACTTTTCCAGGCTCTGAGAAAGGTGAAATCCGCCGAAACGTCAGCTTTTACGTGAATAAAGAATAAAACAACACTCCGCGTTTGCTCAACAAGAGTACGAAGCTTAGATAGTGTTAAGTCGAACTTGATGCACATCTTTTCATACCTTACTGTTTTATTCGCTTACATTACTAATGTGTTATTCGGGTGAGGTTTGTCGTTAATCACTGAAATTTCACTTGGCGGCCCTTCAGTCGAAACGTGTTCTTTTTCAATTGAATTTTCCAAATTTTGTGTGTCAGTCGAGTTAAAGTCATGATTTACCTCTAATCGATGTGTAACATGAGATCTCTTTTCTTGTTTTTCTCATCTCCCTGTCATAGTCTGTTTTAATTGACAATCGTAATTACTAGTGCAGAAATCCTCTTGTAGAGGTAGCAAGGAAAATTTCGTATAAATGTCCGACTAATAAAATTTTATTCGAAACCTAGCGAATAGTACAGAAAGCAGACACGCAGGTAAGTGAGTTAGGAACATCTTTTATAGATTTACTTCTTTTTTTGCATTTTGCCTAGCAACATGTTCGGAGTAGGAGAGGATGTCATCTGTTCCAACCAGCCAACCTCTGG